AGCGTCGGCCCCGAAGGATGCAGCGCCGATCCGTCGGTGAACATCTCACCCGAGAGCGCGCCACCAGGTGGCCAGATCCCCATAGCTTCGCACTGAGCGGACAAGAGGGGCGGAGAAATCAGCTATCGCGGGCGCGGGAAGACATCGATCGTTAAGAATTCGCCAGCACCCCCCAGACTCTGGACAAGCTGCCGCGAGCCCCTCGCAAGACTCTGCCCGCGGCCCTCCTGCCAATCGGCGCAGTCGAACCTCCGGTGGAAGACGGCCCGGGGCCCAACGCCGCGCAAGCGGAGCCGCGCCGAAGAAGCCTCTCCTGAGCCCAATGGGACCCCGAAAGCGCGGCCCGCAACTAATTCTTCTGCGGCCCCGAAATTATTCAAAGAGGCTGCCGGGGCGCGGGCTGGCGCCAGGAACTGGATCCAGCGCGAGCCTCCAGTGAGCGAACATCCCGCATCCCCCCCGAAGCTTTTTCGGCGAAGGCAGCAGCGGCGGCGGGCGACGCCCGCGGTGAGTTCTTCTCCCCCCCCCGCGGCGAGCGCGATCACACGCGACGAGTGCGCAGCCCAGGCCGAGCCCCCGCAAGCAACAACAAACGCGTGCACAAGCGAAATCGCGCGACTCCACGGTCGACTTGCGCCGGCTAGCACGCGGACGGCATCTTCGAAGGTGGCCTGTGGAATCAAGACCTCGGGCGTTCCATGCCAGAGGGCCCGACGCAATGCAAACGTCACCCGTTTGAGATGCGCGCGCGGGATCTACGCGGAAGCCCGACTTGGAAGAACGCAACTTGAGATCCACAGAGGCCCCTCTCTGAGGGGGGGGGACGGAGAACAGGGCCTGTTGCCTGAGCCTCTTGAGGCGAGATCGAGGGGGGCCTCGAGCAGCGCGGCCCCGCAGAGCCCCCGCTCGAGGCCCAGCGCGTTGAATGCGCCCTATGCAAGCCCCCGCAGCGCGTAACTGACGAAGCCTAGCGGACCTACTGAGGCGCGCGCGCGAACCCTCTGAGAGGCAACGGGGGCGCCCTACTGGCGTCGACCTGCCATTCGGCCCCAAGTCTCCGCAGCGCACCCGCTTGAAGGCCATTCATTTGGCGCGCGTCAGGAAGCCTCTCGGCAACCGAACGTGGCGATGCAAAAAACCTGCATTTGTTCCCAGACAACGCGCGGCGAATCCGGCGCAAGCTGGTCACCAGCTTGCCCCCGACGGCCCCGAGCCCCCAGACGGCGCGGAAGCTGGGCCTGGGCGCCTGCGCCGAGATGTCATCAATGACGTTGAGGACGCTGACAGAGGAGTGGGACGCCGCGAGCGACGTCAGCAACGCGTGGGCGAGGACCATTGCCTGCGACGCATCCACGTAACACCCCGCAGAAATCGCACCGCCCGTCACGAGCGCAGGGGGCGCGGACCCAAGGTGAATGCGCGAATGTGGGCCAGAGTGCAAAGCGCGTGCAGCCCTGGGAACCTAAAGCGGGGAGCCACTGGCTGCCGCCTCATCGCACCAGACGCGGCGACATACCCGCTCGTAAAAAAAAACTTGCCAAGGTTCGTCGCCAGCGTCGAGCTACCCCCCCCCCTGCAGCGCGCGAGATGCACAGTGACCTGGCGGGCCTAGTCCGCTCCGTCGCACCCCCGATACTTGTGGCCCCGGAGCGCCGGGGGGTCATGGGGGCCCCCCCGCCCCTCGGCAAAGTCGCGCCTGACCTTGCCCTGGGCGCAAAGGATGGAGCACGCGAAAGCAATGGGCCGAACTCCAAGGCCATCAAGCTTGGATTGGGACATCCAAGGGCGTCGGCAAGCGCGCCGACAGCTGGGGCTCAAATCCCTGCATCATTAGCAAGACGCTCGGCCTGCCCACGAAATCATCCGACCCACAAATCGGAAAGGCCTCGGGTTGAAGCAATCCACGCCAGGCCCCAAGGGCGGCCAGCACCCGCGCTGTGCGAGCCGAGCGCGAGCAAGCGAAGGGCTGGAAAGCACCTCCGCCCGAGCCGCTGCAGCCTGCGCGTTCGAGATGGCCCCCTTTGCCGTCGGGCCAATAGCGCCGTCGCGCGTTTTACATGGCCGCCGTCGCGAAGGCGGCCCCGTCGGGGGCGCAAGGCCCAAAGGCCCGGCGCAGCTCCGCGATGACATGATGGGCCTTGCGGCACCCGCGCGCGTTCGACTCCTGTCCACGCTGCTGCGCAAGATGTCAAGGCCCTCGCCTCAAGCCTTGACGACCTGGCGAATCCGACGGTAGTCCGGGCCCTGCGAGCTAATCCCCGACAGCGACGCGACGCCCCAAGCGGCAAGCTGGCTGATCCAAGATGGGGCCCCGGCCAAGAACTCCGACGCAAACGCCCCGACTTCCCGCGCTTTCCTCGCCTCTGCCCCGCCAGTGGCCGCGCCGAGGGGGTGGGCGTTCCAAGGGGTGCTCTGCCCTGTCGTCGGAGGGGCGCAGCCGCCCTGGGGCGAGCGCGCCCGAACGCGCCCTGCCGCGCGCGGCGCGGCAGTCGGCGAGGTGGGCGCAGAGGCACCTGCCAGCGCAGCTGCCTCGTGGGCCTCAACCTTCGACGCGTCAACTTCCAGCTCCTGCGCGCTCCTCAGCACAGACGCGCCGGTGGCCGCGCCGAGGGGGTGAATGATTCGAGGGTTGGTCTGACCCGTCGTCGCAAGGGCGCGGCGGCCCTGGGGCGAGCGCGCCCAAGGACGCTCTGCCTCGCTCGGGGCGGCAGTGAGCGAGGCGGGCGCAGAATCGCCCGACTGCGCGGCGGCCTCCGCGGGCGCCGCGACCAGCGGCCCCACCTCGGGGTCGGGGCCAGAGAATAGCCTCCTGTAGTTGGGCAGAGCGAAGCCCGGGCTCGTGGGCGAGGTCGCCGCGTCATCGACCACGTCCGTCGACTGTCTGCCCCGGCCCCAACTCGCGCCGACGTTGGGCCCGCCAGAGAATCAGCGACAGCGATCGCCGGGCCCTCGTCGAAACACTGCGTTCTGCCAGCGTGGCCTGTCGCATGGCCGCCCGCCTGGCAAAGTCCTGGGACCTGCCGCAGCGCGGCGCGGCTGCTCTGCTTGCAAGGTCAGACTTGCTGCGCAATTCGACCTCGTCATGGCCACCCCTGCCATGCCGCGCCCAGCCCTCCCGAGGCCGCGTCGCCAGCTTGCCGCGTCCACTCGTGCTCGATAGGCGCTGGGTATCAGCCAATGTTGGGCACCGTCGGGAAGGGCTTCCAGCCCTGGCGAATGCGCGTCGGGATGTCCAGAGAGGGCCCTCGCAACCTCATCGTGGCCGCCGCGCGGGGCGACGCTGGGGAACCGCGCAAGGCCGGCGCGTCGTCAACACACGTCTCCAAACCTTGGCCGCCCACAGAAAAATACATCAGGCCCGATTGCGATGAGAAACGCGCGGGGCCCCCAGGAGCGATCAGCGTGGTCTTCAGGATCTGGCACCACCGGACGAGAGGCGGTTCCTCACGTTCCAGCCCCCGCCGATGGCCCACGGAATAGACAACCTGCGTGCCCGATCAAGCTTCGCCCTGCCACGACTAGACATTATGCCTGCGACGCCTGAGCCCCGGAGCCGCACCTGCCTTTGCCAACCACGCTTGGCTGCAGCCCGCTGCTCCGGCCCCGAACCACGAGCTGAGCGAAAGTTGTCGGCGGCCGTTCGGCAAGCCTGCGTGCGGCCCTCGAAGCCGTCGCCTGGGATCTGCTCCGCGTCGATGTCATCGTCGCCCGCGGCGACGTCACCTCCTCCGGCTTCGCCAGCGGCGTCAGCAGCAAATGAGCCGCAGGCAGCAGGAGCAGGAGGAAGAGCACGACCGCGGAACATCTCAAGTAGCATCTTGGATTGCTCGCCCTGCTTGAAGCCGACATACTACGACTCGAACTCCACTCCCATGGCCCGAACCTCTGCCTCGGTAGGCTCGAACCTCGAAATGTCCGACTGCCCAGCGCCTGTGGCCAGCGAGGCCCTTCCAGTCTGAGCGAAGGCCGCTGCTGCTCGATGGACGCTGGAGCTCGGCGACCTTGCCCTCCTCCTTCGCCAAAGACGCATGGAGGGCGGCGGTACTCGACTGATCACGTGTCTGAACGTCCTTCTTCTTCGACTTCTCGCAGAAGGCCCCGGCTGTCGCCGTAGCCCTCAAGCGTGTAAATGCTTGACTGATGTACGCAGCAACTTCATGACAGTGCACATATGGGAAATATACTGCCTTTCTTGTTTGCCGTTCCTCCTTCCCTCTACTCTTCTCTTGTCCTGCCTCTACCTCTTCTTCCTTCTATGCCTCAGCCCTTTCCTGCCCTACCCCTGGCTCCTCGAGTGCGTCTAATGAAAGTTGAGGTGCTGGAATTCGATACGTTCGGAATTATGCAACTTTGTCTCCAAACGAGTTATCTCCGAATCCGCAAAGGTCTTAGCCTCGACCAAGTGAAAGACCTGGCTCAAACCTTGCTCCAATGCTCCAGCGACTTCCTGGCGTCGGCGAGCTCCTTCGAGACAGAGTCGCCCTGCGACGCCGAGGGACGCGAGGCAGGCAGCGAGACGAGAGGGCCGCTCGAACCGACCAGCAGCGCCAATGACTGCTGGATGACTGCCAGCACCTTGCCCTGGCCCTTGCCCGATGTCGAGTTGCCCGAACCACTCTTCGACTGGAACGGTCCTGAAGGCGTACAGTGAACAAAAGACGGTGCCTCCAGCCTGGGCAGGCCGCGGAGGAGGCACGGAGCGGTCGGGGGCCGCGATACCCCACGCCAGAGTGTCAAGCCCGCTGGTGGCCCCTGAGCCACGCTACGGACTCGAGCCAAAATGGCGACGGACGGAGTGAGAGGAGAGGGGAGTGTGGAGAGGAACGAGGGGAGAGGAGGGGAGAGGAGGAGGAGGCGGAGGAGGAAGGAGAGGAGGCGGCGAGGAGCGAAGAGGACGAAGAGCGTGAGGGGACAGGACGAGGAGAAGACTGGACGGGAGGCAGACTGGCGGGGGACCCCGGAGCCACGGGCGGCTCTGCCCCCCCCCCCCGGGGCCCCGCCTGCGCAGTCCCTCCGCCAGCGCGACCCTGGAGCGGCGCTCCGCGTTGAGCGCCCCGTAGCCGCGCTCCAGGCGCTGCTGCATCTCCGCCACCTCGGCCCCGTGGGCCGCTCGGCCGACGGCCCGAGGGCGGGGCCGATGGGCCGCCGCCGCCGCTGGCCCGCGGGGGCGACGGCCGAAGGCGAGGCCTCCTCCTGCTCCTGTGCCTTCTCCTCCCCGCAGTCGGCGTCGGCATCGGAAGGCGGCAACCCAGGAACGCGCACACACCCTGGGAGGGCGAGGCCAACATCTTAGAAAAAGAACCCCCCCTATACCAAGAACGCGAGACCCACACCCAGACCGTGGAAAGCGGACCCAAGCCTCGAAGCGCCGGAGGTATCGTCGTCGGCACGTTCGCAGACTGAACGCTGTCAGCTGAACAGCCAAAAAATCGAGAGCGCTTCCTGCTCAAAACGAAGCTCGCGCCCAACACGGAAGGGACTCCTGAAGCATCGTTGGTGCAACCTGAGTTTCTCTCATGCCCCACCCCAGACCTACGACGTCGGAAGTTTGTAACAATGTCGGCGTCCTGGCAGTTCTGTCCGAGGACATGCTGGTCATGCAGGCAGAGGGGAGCGGGGCACAAATATTCGATGCTGCTCGCCACGTGGCAACGCAGGGGAGGGCGGACAAACATACTATCCCACCCTACTTGCTACGTGGCAGCGCAACGAAGTGTAAACAAAACATATGGTGCTCCGCTGGGACGAAATACATACTAACGGCGTGATTGGTTATCGGTGCGGTTGGGAACGTGGTGCTTGTGACGCTGAACTCACGCAAACAAAATGTAGGAAATCACTAGCCACCACTTACTCAAATTCGAATATGCGAACGGATCGAGTGTAAACGACACAGCGACTTGTAGTAAAACACGAACACCGCGTTCCTACAATTGGTTTGGCCACGAACCACGCTTTCCTGGAATTGGTTGTCCTACATCGGCGTTAGCTAAGACACCGTCAGCGCGTTTACGGTGGAGAAAATGAGCACTAATGATATCAGGGTGAGGAGCCGAACGATGAGTTCTTGTCCCTGGCTGTGTGGCTGAAGTGAGGTTCCATTGTGCGGATTGTTGTTGCGTTGCTGTCGAATTCTCATTTCGGAAAATAAAGGTTGATCCCCCCCAGTGCCCCTTGTATGTTTCAAGTAAAGTGCTCCTCCAGGGGTTCGCACCCTGTCTTCTTTTAAGGAACATCTGTGGTCACCAAGATGCGGCCCCAGCCCCCAGTTTACAACAACAACAACAACAACACTGGCTGCCGTCTGATACTTCCTCACAACGTAGTTTTGCTTAGCGCTCTCGCGCGGGATTTCCTCATCACGTCTCTAAGAACCTCGCTCTCGCGCGGCACTGTTTCCTAATGTATTGCGGCGCCGTGCCCCTTAGACTCAAGAGCCACGCCCTCGCTCTGGATGTCTGGACGATTTACCGTGGAATCGCGCTATCGTTCGAATCTTCCTGCATGATGGGCTGACGCTTTCGCTACCCACCCACTAGACCTGGCCGTCTGGGCCCGCCCGCCCATACGACCTGCCCGTCAGGGCCCACCCGACCGACACTCCAGGCTGGTTCTGCCGTTTGTGATCCATCCTCCTGAAATTCTCTCTCCTGTTTCATCCTTTTCCCTCGCCTTGTCTCTTCACTCCTCCCCTCCTTCCCCTGTTTTAGGGCCTGCGCCAACTACACACGGCAGGCACTTAGTGAAGATCTGCCCCCCGGAGGAGGTACGATCGAAGAGGAAGAGGGCGGACACCGAAGGTTTGGGAGTTACGTGTTGGATGGCATGCGAGCAGGTGAGAACGAACAATATTCACATGATGGTTGTTGTTGTTGCTACTGTTCTTCCATTCTCACTGACAAGAAATGATAATGTGTTGATCCCCCCCTTCCGGTGACCGTGCTGCTTCTCTTTTGAAGAGCTCCTCCAGGGCTCGCTCCCTGTCGCAAACTAGGTTGTGCGCCCCCGGCTTACCACAACAACGGCTACAGCGAGATACTCCCCCAGTGTATTCCCACATCGCGCTCTCGCGAGGGACCTCCTCACAATGAACGTAGGAATCGCGATCTCGCGTGGGACTTCCTCGCAATTTGTTCAGACGCCGCGCCCTCGACACTCAAAAAGCACGCTCTCGCTATGGATGACCCCACGATGTACGTGGGAGTTTCGCTACCGCTCAAGACTTCCTCGCGATTCACGCAAGACGCACGCTTCAGCAACCCGCCTGCTCGACCTGGCCGCCAGGACCCGCCTTCACGACCCGCCCGTGGGGGTCTACCCGCCGGATCTGCCCGTCTGGTTCTGCCACGTGCTTTCTGCTCCATCCTCCTCCGTCCCCCTTGCCCCTTGCCTCGATCCGTCCTCTCCCCCGAACTTAAGGACTACACGAAATACACGTTGCAGGTAAGAAGTATAAACTCCCAAGGGGGCACGACCGAAGCCGAAGGGGGCGGGTAGATCAGAGCGACTAATCTTAAAATGACCGTTGCTGTTGAAATTGTAGGTGTCGTTGTGCTTGTAGATGTAGTAGTTGTTGTTGATGACGATGTTGATGATGGTGTTGGTAGTGGTGCTGTTGTTGTTGCTGCTGCTGCTGTTGGTGTTGTCGGTGCTGTCGTTGTTATCGTTGTTGGTGGTGCTGCTGTTGTTGCTGTTGCTGTTGCTGTTGCTGTTGTTGTTGGTGCTGCTCATGCTGCTTATGTTGTTGATGGTGCTGTTGAATTCCCATTTCCAACGAATGACTATTGTTGACCCCCTCTCTCCGGTACACATTGCATTTGTAACTAAGAATGTTGATCCTGGGGCTCGCACCTGGTTTTTTACGAAGGAAAATGGGGTGTCAACAAACTGTGCCTCTGGACCCTGGTGCACAACAGCATCGGCAACCGCCGGATACTTCCTCACAACGTATTCTCACCTCGCGCTCTCGCGCGGGACGTCTCACAGTGTATAAAGGAATCGCGCTCTCGCGTGGGACTCCCTCGCAATTCATTCAGACGCCGCGCCCTCGACACTCAGGAATCACCCTCTGGTTTATCTAGAAATCGCGCTTTCGCTTGAGACTTCCTCGCGATGTGTGCAGGACGCACGCTTCAGCAACCCGCCTGCCCCTTGCCCCTTCCTCCCATCCGTCCTCTCCTCCCCTGCTTTAGGGACTGCACGAAGTCCACGTTGCAAGTAAGAAAAATACACCAATAACGGGGTACAATCGAAAACAAAGAGGACGCGTATCGAGGATGTTGGATATACGTGGTGAATGACACGCGAGCAAGTAAGAGCGAACACGAATAAAATGGTTGTTGTTGGGTCTGTTGTTGTTTCAACTCGGTGTTGCTAGTATTCTTGTTGTTGGCGTCGTCGTCCCACTCGCGACCCCGCCGCGACCCACCGGCGACCCGCCCATGACCCACCCGCAACCCACCCGCGATCCACCCGCGACCTACCCGGGACCCACCCGCGACCCACCCGCGACCCACCCGCGACCCACCCGCGACCCGCCCGCGACCCACCCGCGACCCTCCCGCGATCCACCCGCGACCCACCTGCGATCCACCCGCGACCCACACGCGATCCACCGCGCGACCCACCCGCGACCCGCCCGCGACCCACCCGCGACCCACCCCGAGCCCGCCCCTCACTCTTATCCTCAACTGCGGGTTGCTACGTATTACACTCGCCGCGTAGCATCGCAGGGAACAGGACCACGTACTACTCTACTCGTCGCGCGACAGTGTAGGGGCAGCGGCACTTAGCATTCTGCTATACCCGCCACGTGGCAACGCACATGGTCAAAACAAACAATATTCTCCTCTACTCGCCGCATGCGCCCGCCTTCTCGCCCCTCCGAACCTCCCCCAATGGTCCCTCTCAATGTCGCCCTTCCTGTCTCGAACTCCTCCCGCCGTGCTCTGGACAATCCATCTGGCCAGACACTCCCAGAACATGTCGGGACACGATGAGCGAGCCGCTCCTACAGTCAACCCGTATAGTAAGGATGCGCGATAAGGATGTAAGGGCCTTGGAGGCCCATTTCGAAGCTTTTCGAGCGGGGCGCGGCCAACGGGAGTGGCCAAGGCAGGACCGAGGAGGCAAGGATGCAAGGGTAGCCTTGGGAATGTTGCCCATCCTTACTATGCGGGTTGACTGTACCTCCTTCGTCCCTCTCCCTTGGGGGTCCCCCAGCCAGCTGCTCCCCCCCTCCCCCATATTCCGCCACTCCTCGTCGGGCGCTCCGCTCGGCAGATACCGAGCCGGCGCTCAACATCACGAAACAATGTTTAGGTCGGGCGTCCCCCCTTCAGGCGGATGTTGGACGCACAATATAGGATACCCCAACCATATACCAAAACACTTGCAATTAATCCAAACATCGTCCCAGGCTACTGTTTTGACTATTTTGAATATTCCCCCTGTAGAGCGACAGGCCCGACTTACAACTAGGTCGGACGATCTGCACACTCCACCTGTTCGTAGACACTGTCACATGTTCCGTTGCCCTTTCTGCGCGAAGATCTGGTGGCAACGCAGGGGGTGGAGGGGGGGCGGGACACAACTATTTTTGTTTCGCTCGCCACGTGGCAGACGCGAAAGGGCGGCAACAATAAAATCCCACTCGACTCGTCACGTGGCAACGCAGTGCGGTTGAGACACATAGCCGCTTGCTCGACCTTTCACTTGGCAACGCCAGGAGAATGGTCGAACAAGGTACATCCGATATGATCGTCGCGTGGCATCGCAGGGGTCGAACACGTGCGTGCTATCCTACTCTACTCATCACGTGGCAGCGCAGGAGGGGCAGAACCACTTAGCATCCTGCTCTGCCCGTCACGTGGCAACGCACATGGACAAAGCAAACATGATTTTCTAGTCACCACGTGCGACAAAGGTGGAAAAAGCTCCCTCCTCCCTCGTCCATTCCCCCTCCTTGCCCCTCCAAGCCTCCCTGAACGCTCCCCCCTCAACGAGACCCTCCCTGCCCTCGAAATCCTCCCTGCCATGTTGAAAGAAATCCGGGAAATCCAGCTGGCCAGACACGGCACGGAATCGATGAGCCGCCCCTGCCTCCCTCTTCCCTCCTCCTTCGGAACTCACCAGCCCGAAGCCCTCCCGCGCCCCCTTTCCGCCACTCCGTTGTCGGGCGCCGCGCGCGACCGGCCTGGAACTGTGATTTCTGTCAGTTGGTAGGCGTCGGACACGCCCAAAATCACGAAATTGGGTCGAACCATGAGCGCCATCTGTTCGCACACGAGTGCACATGTTTCAAGCACTACTGCGCGAGGATCCGGTGGCAACGCAGTGGGGAGGCTGACGCCATTTTGCTCGCGGCGTGGCAACGCAGGGGGACGGAACAAATCCTGTCCCAGCCTACTCGTCACGTGGCAAGGCTCCCTCCTCCTCTCCCTCTCACTCCACCTCCGTCTGGCAAAAGACGTCCCAACAAAATTGGTTCACGTTCGTGGAGAAGGAGCTTGAACAGCAAAATGTCGGTGCCCTTTTGCACTCGGCACGCACAGTTCCCTACCTAGGCTCTGCCTAGAAAGGATCTTGCTTAAAAGGCCGGGCAGTGGGGCACGCCCCGGGCGGTTCCCCCGGCATCCACCCCGCGGTTCCCCCAGCTACGTCCCCTTAGCTTAGCGTTGCTTATCTCATCTTAGCTTAGCCTAGCCTAACTTAGCTTAGCTTAGCTTAGCCTAGCCTAGCTTAGCTTAGCTTAGCTTAGCTTCGCCTAGCTTAACTTAGCTCAACTTAGCCTATCCTAGCTCAGCTCAGCTCCGCTTAGCGTACGCAGCATTAGCATAGCATAGCATTTTACAGCATAGAATCGCATAGCCTAGCATAGCGCGGCATAGCGCAGCATAGCATAGCATAGCATTGCATCGCATAGCATAGCATCGTACAGCAAGACGCAGCATAGCATAGCATAGCTTTGCTTAGCATAGCATAGCGCAGCATAGCATAGCCTAGCATAGCATAGCATAGCATAGCGCAGCATAGCATAGCATAGCATGGCGCACCATAGCATAGCATAGCGAAGCATATCCTATAATAACCTAGCCTAGCCTAGGATAGCGCAACATAGCATATCATAGCACAGCGTAGCGCAGCATAGCATAGCATAGCATAGCGCAGCATAGCATAGCATAGCGCAGCCTGGCATAACATAGCGCAGCCTAGCATACCCTAGCATATCATAGCACAGCGCAACATAACATAGCATAGTATAGCGCAGCATAACATAACATAGCACATCGTATAATCAAAGCAAAGGCAAATCAGCATCAGCAACATCAGAGCAACGCACAAGCAACGCAAAGCAACAACGCAAACGCAACGGCAAAGCAAACACAACACATAGCGTAGATGTAGATGTAGATGTAGGTGTAGGTGTAGATGTAGATGTGAGTCTCGCTGTTGATGTTGATGTTGATGTAGATGCAGGTGTAGATGTTAATGTAGCTGTCGGTATAGATGCATATGTTGCTTTCCTAGATGCTCCAACTCCTAGGTAGGGTCGCACTGGGATAATTTTATTTTTTGCATAACCAACAACACACCGTTCACGATCCGTAGACGCAACCTTGCTAGAGTTTCCAATCATTACTGTGCATGCACAGACCTGTCTAGCTTTTAAGGCGGAGGACAGCAGCGTGATTCAGCTGTTCGGCTAAGCTGCCAAATCGGCACCACCCTCTCGGTCTCTTGCCGCGGGGGCCTGTACCTTGTCGTGTCGGCACGCTGGTGTGTGTACCTCTGCAGGCGTCTCAATCTGATTGGTGCCGAACTCGCTTGTTGGGCCCTAAAGGCCGAGAGAAATTCGACGACTCGTGGCAGAGCAGCGCAACGGCAATCCTCGCCTGCCCCCTCTTGGGTGGCCAAGCGAAGATTGCCGCTACGCTGGCCGTCATCCCACTTCATCCTGTACCCGGGTTTTTCTGGCGCTCCGATGTTTCGATGCGTGGGTTCCTGGAGGTCTAGACCGCTTCCCCAGGGCCGGCTTTTCGTCCTGAGTCGCTTTCTGAAGGCCCTGGGGCTCGTTGCAGGCCCCCAGAAACGGAGAACGGCAAAAAGCGGCCGCTCCAAGTTGTTCTGAGCCTCTGCATGGGGAGTCGAAAATACCGATACCGCTGCTTCCCTGACCTCTCCCTGTGTTCGCTCTGACTTTCGAGGCGAATCCAGCAGTGGCGACGAGGGACTCCCAGGAGGCCCCGAAAAGCGAAAACGAGGCAAGGGTAGCGCTGTCGGTACCGCTCCCTGCTCTGAGCCTCGGATCTCTTAGGAGGCAAACAAACCTACCTCGCTTTTCACCACCCTCGTTTCCAAGAGATACCAAGCGATGCCAAACTACGGCCTGTACTGGTCAGGCCGCTTGACGAGGAGGCGCGTGGTATGACTTGGTTTTGCATGGAAGCGAAAGCGGGGGAGGTAATTTACGCTCTGATCTCTTGGGACCCTCGATCGCCCAGCCCGAGTCGCGGGCCTTGGCCATGATCTCCACGCCGATGGTGCGCAGCCGTCGTCGCCGCCTTCGTCGTCGTCTTCTCCTTGAGGCGGCGTGGCTGAGCGGCCGCCTCGGGCCCTGAGATGATGTCGTGGGGGGAGCATCGCGGGCGGCTCGGCTTGGAGCGCCTCCTCCCCATCCTTCTCCCTCTCCCGCCGTGTCGTCGCCGTGTCGTCGCCGAGTCGTCGTCGTCGTCGTCGTCGTCGTCGAAAAGGAGGAGGAGGAGGAGGAGGAGGAGGAGGAGGAGGAGGAGGAGGGGGAGGGGGAGGGGGACAAGCTAGGTGCGCTCGCGTCATATCTGACATCCTACCCCTCCCTCCCATCCCTTACCATGGCGCAGACCCCCTCGCTACTCGCACAGTCGGATGTCGAGGAGGGCAATGATCCCGAAAGGGCACGCGATGCATTATAGAGCACGGCATGGCATGGCGCAGAAGAGCACAGCAAAGCGTAGCATCAACCTAGCATTGCATTGCATGCCGTGGCATGGCACGGGAAATGACGCCAGCGCTGCAGCGGGAGCACGAATCGAAACGAGCGGAAGCGCGGAAATGAGGCCACCGCTGCAGCGGGAGCACGATTCGTAACGAGCGGAAGCACGGAAATGAGGCCAGCGCTGCAGCGGGAGCATGATACGGGCCCGAAAATGAGGCCGGCGCTTCAGCGAGAGCAGCATTTTGCAAAACATGCAAGCGAAAACCCAACTCCGTGGAAACCTGTGTAAAAAACAGTACGCGGGGGGGGTCGAGCACTTTCAAACCCTCATCAGGGGAAGAGGGAGAGTAGTATTCATATTAAGTAATTGTGCAGGAGCAGGAGCAGAAGGAGGAGGAGGAAGAGGAGGAAAAGGAGGGGGAGGAGGAGCAGGAGGAAAAGGAGGAGGAGTAGGAGGAGGACCCTCGGGCGCCCCGCCCGAGCCGCGGACCTCGGCCATGGCCTCCGCGCCGCCCCGGGCCCCGGAACCCCGCTCGGCCTCCCCCGCGGCGGCGCGGCCCTCCTCGGCCTCGGCGCGGAGCTGGGCGACCTCCCCCGCGTCTCGCCAGGCCTCCTCGGGGAGTGGGGGGGGGCTCTGCGGGAGAGCGATCGGTTGTTACTGTGGCCCGTTGGGTGTTGGTGTGGCCCGTTGGGCGTTAGTGTGGCCCGTCGCGCGGCCCGACGGGAGCTACTGTGGCCCGCGATGGCCGTTCAATGACGAGTAAGATGTAAAGGTGTCTCATGTTAGATGTGGAGAGATTTGCAAACCTTAGGGGGATGCATTCCCGAGCAAGCAAAAGTGGCCGCAATAACTCCCGCCTGGAACCAACGTAGTCGTAGTAGTAGTAGTAGTAGTAGTAGTAGTAGTAGTAGTAGTAGTAGTAGTAGTAGTAGTAGTAGTAGTAGTAATAGTAGTGGTAGTAGTAGTCGTAGTCGTAGTCGTAGTCGTAATCGTGGTCGTAGTCGTAGTCGTAGTAGTAGTAGTAGTAGTAGCAGCAGTAGTAGTAGTAGTAGTAGTAGTAGTAGTAGTAGTAGTAGTAGTAGTAGTAGTAGTAGTAGTAGTAGTAGTAGTAGTAGTAGTAGTAGTAGTAGTAGTAGTAGTAGTAGTAGTAGTGGTAGTAGTAGTAGTCGTCATCGCCGTCGTCGTCGTAGTAGTACTAGTAAAAAATAGTAGTAGTAGTAGTAGTAGTAGTAGTAGTAGCAGTAGTAGTAGTAGTAGTAGTAGTAGTAGTAGTAGTAGTAGTAGTAGTAGTAGTGGTAGTAGTAGTAGTAGTAGTAGTAGTAGTAGTAGCAGTAGTAGTAGTAGTAGTAGTAGTAGTAGTAGTAGTAGTAGTAGTAAGGCAGACCGGGCCCTGGGTGCGAGCCGCCGCCGCGGCCGCCGCCGCGGTCGCGGCGACGGCGGCGGCTGGTGGCATCAGTCGGCCTCTTGGGGGCCTCTTGGGGCCTGCTGGTGGCTTGCTGGGGGCCTCTTGGGGCCTCTTTGGGGCCTCTTGGGGCCTCCTGGGGCTCTCTTGGGGCGTCTTGGGCGCCTCTTGGGTCGTCTTGGGGCTCTCGTGGGTCGTCTTGGGTGCCTCTTGGGTCCTCTTGGGGCTCTCTGGGCCCTCTTGGAAGCCTCTTGGGCCGTTTCGGGGCGTTCCTGGGGGCTTCTTGGAAGCCTTTTGGGCCGTTTCGGTGCCGCCAAACACCGGCTGTGCGAAGGATGATGCGGGGCTGTCGTATAAGAAACGTATGAGAAACACATAAGAGACGTATATGAAACATATAAGAAACGTGTAGGAAACGTATACAAAACGTGTAGGAAACATATAAGAAACACATAAGAAACATATAGGAACCGTAAGGGAAACGTATACAACACGTATAGGGACCATATAGGAAAATTATGGGAAGCATTAAGGAAGCGGATGCAAAACGTATAGGAAACATATTGGAGACGCATACAAAACATATAGGAACGTATACAAACCATATTGGACACGTAAAAAATAGGAAACGCATACACAACGTATAGGGAACGTATAGGAAACATACAGACAACGTATACAAAACATACAGACCACGTATACAAGACCTATAGGAAACGTACGCCAACCATGTAGGACACGTAAACGAAACCTAGAAGACACGTATCGAAATCAACTAAGAAACGTAACGACACATATAAGAAACGGATGGGAACCATATACTAAACATATAAAAAAAAACGTTTAAGAAACGCATAAGACACGTATAGGAAACATATAGAAAACGTATAGGACACATATCGGAAACATATAAGAAACGTAGAAGACACGTATAGGAAACGTAAAAGAAACGTAGAGGAAACATGTAAGAACCGCATAGGACACACAAAACAAACGTATAGAAAACACATAAGAAACGTATAGGAAACATATATGACACGTATAGAAAGCAAATAAGTAACGTATAGGAAACAGATAGGACACGTATAGGAAGCATACAGGAACCGTATAAGAAACATATTAGAAACATATAATAAACATAAAAAGAAACGTATAATAAACACATAGGACACGTATAAGAAATATTGAAAAAAAAACGTATCGGAAACGTGTAAGAAACGTGTAGGAAACATAGAAGAAACCTATAGGAAACATTTAAGAAACGTATAGGAAACAGTTAAGAGACGTATAGGACACGCATAACAGACGTATAGGAAACACATAGGAAACATATAGGATACATATAGGATACGTAAGAGACACACATGAGAAACATATAGGAAACATATGGGAAGCACATAGGAAACATAAAGGAACATATAGGAAACACATAGGAAACGTATAGGAGGCATATGGGAAACATATAGGACACGTATAGAAAAACACATTGGAAACATATAGGAACCATATTGGAATCACATAGGAGACATAGAGGACACATATAGGACATATATAATAAACGTAAAAGAAACGTATAGGAAACTTAAAAGAAACATAGAAGAAACATAAAATAACCATATAAGAACCGTATAGGATCCATATCAGAAACTTATAGGAAACACATAAACCACGTATAGGAAACACATAGGAAACATACAGGACACATGTAGGAAACATTTAGGAAACCTATGGGAAACATGCAGGAAACACATAGGAAACATATAGGGCACATATAGGAAACGTATGGGAAACAAATAGGAAACGTTTAGGAACCATCTAGGAAACATATAGGACCATGTAGGACACAGTTCGGAAACATATTGAAAACATATAGGAAACGTATAGGACACGTATAAAAAAAAACAGATAGGGAACATAGAGGAAGCGTATACAAAACGTATATAAAAAAAACATAAAGGAAACGTGTACAAAACGTATAGGACACGGATACAAAACGTATAGGACCCATATGGGAAACGTCAACAAAACGTATAGGAAACATATAGGAAACGTATACAAAACGCATGGGAAGCATATAGGACACGTATACAAAACGTGTAGGAAACATATCGGAAACGTATACAAAACGTATAGGAAACGTATACAAAACGTATAGGTAGCGCATACGAAACACACCGCACACCGCACACCGCACACGCACAAACACACTGACGGTGCGGAAACCCAACGGAGTGCTGCAAGGAGGGGCTGGGGGAGCGGCTCGCACCCAGGAGCCGGTCACCCCTAGTAGTAATAGTAGTGGTAGTAGTAGCCGTAGTAGTAGCAGTAGTAGTAGTAGTAGTGGTAGTAGTAGCCGTAGTAGTAGCAGTAGTAGTAGTAAAAGTAGTAATAGTAGTAGTAGTAGTAGTAGTAGTAGTAGTAGTCGTAGTAGTAGTAGTAGTAGTAGTAGTAGTAGTAGTAGTAGTAGTGGTGGTGGTGGTAGTAGTAGTAGTAGTAATAGTAGTGGTTGTTGTTGTAGTAGTGGTTGTAGTAGTAGTAGTAGTACTACTACTACTAGTAATAGTAAAAGTAGTAATACAACTATTTGGGGAAATACATCATGGGCAGGCACTGAAACGGCTATTCTGTTCAACGGTTTTGCTGTTCGTTCGCAATGTGTTTGTTGTTGCTCGGTGTCGTTCGTTGCTTTCGGTAGGGATCGCAGCGCAGCGCAAGCCTTAAATTCGTAGAAGAAACGCCGCGCGCTCTCGGCGTCGCTCGACTTGTTCGGCGTCTGCGCGCCGTTTCTTTTGACGTGCTCTGCATGTGTTTTAGAGCGTCGGCGGCTATCGTATATTCAAAAAAGGGAGCCGCAAAAAGCGCAGCGGGGCGCGAGCGCCGATTTAAACAATTCTAGTTGCGAATTGCGAAGGGCCCAAACATGTGTAGTTGCGAGTGCCGCGCAGCGGGTAGGACGAGCGGTGTGCCGAAATGGGCGCGGCGGGCGCATGCGAACGCAACCATGGGGCCGTCGGTGGAAGAGTTCGTTGCGGTGCCACGGAACATGTCAGGATGCGTCGACATGGATGCGGGCGCATGCGAACGCAGCCACAAGGGCCTCCGGTGGAGCTCCCTGTGGGCCACGAAACGTGCGAGGGGTGCGCCGACGTGGGCGCGCCGCGCGCATGGGAACGCAACAACGGGCTTCGGCGAAGCTCCGCGGCAACGGAACGCGTGAGTGGCGTGCCGAAATGGACACGGCGGCGGGGGCACATGCGAACGCAGCCACGGTGGCCTTCGGCAGAAACGTGTGAGAAATGTGCTGAAAAAAGCGCCTGGGGCCTCATGTGGGGCAACACATCAACACATAGGTGCGGCGGGCGCACACGAACGCAAGCCACGTGAGCCAGCTCCATATGGGGCCACGAAAAGTGTGGGCGGTCAGCCGAAATTAACGCGGCGGGAGCATGCGAACGCACGACCGCAACCGATGGACCCTTGGTCGTCCTCCCCAATGGCCCAAGGGTCAACGAAACGCGTGGCGGGCGCATGCGAACGCAACGGGCAGTCGTTGGCCCTGGCATATCGGACACCAGAACGTGTGAGGGGTGTGCCAATATGGGTGTTGCGGGCACATGCGGACGCAGCCGCGTTGGTTTTCGTGTTCAGCGCCATGGGGTCCACCAGACGCGCGAGGGGGCGTGCCGAAATGAGCGCGGCGGGCGCATGCGGACGCAGCGGGGCCACGAAACCTGTGAGGATGAGCCGAGATGGGCGCGGCGGGCGCATGCGAACCGCTGGGGGGGCCCCATGTAAGGCCAAGGGCGGATGCGAACGCAGCCCTGCCGCAATGGATGGGCACGGCGGGTGCATGCGAAAGTTGCGAAAGCAGCCATTGGAGCCCCGGTGGAGCTGCGGGCGCACGGTGGAGTTCCTTATGGGGACACGAAACCGTGCGAGGGGTGTGTTGGAATGGGAGCGGCGCAGCGGGTGCGAGGTGCATGCGAAGGCAACAACCAAGGGGGGGGGGAGGGCCTTGAAGGGTGTGCCGAAATAGGCGCGGCGCGGCGGGCGCATGCGAGGGCCTTCGGTGGAGCCCCACATGTGGCCACGAAGCGCGTGAGGGGTGTGCCGACATGGGCGCGGCGGGCACATGCGAGTGCGCATGATTGTGATGACGCTGACGGGAGCGGCGGTTGCTCTCGTACGAGGCCGATGTGGCATCACAGCA